AAGATAAAGATCAAAATTGGAATTAAAAAATTCCTTAGCGTTATCAGTTCCAAGAACTTGAATTTTGCTTTGGAATAAAGCAAGGAACATGAAATGAAAGAATTGAAATATGACAGCAGCTTCAAAATTTTCTTCCACAAGAAATGTTCTAGTTGTTGGTTTTTTTTTCTCTCTACTCCAGTTTTCAAGTAGTCCTGGTGTGATCATTTGTGAATCATAGAAACTATCATATCCCAACACTGTAAATAACAGCAAAAAGATGTGAAGGTTTGTATTAAAGTTTTGAGTATGGTATGATTAGCAAGTTGGCATGTTTTAAATTGATTGAAATTGAACTTTATTGATAAATAGATGTGGAAACATTTCTTTAATGTAAGCAAAATTTGGATAGTCAAGGGGACAATGCTTTAACATGACTTGATTTTCAACAAAAGCTGACTCAAAATTTGAAACAGGATTAAAATAATTTGAACTATACTCATAAATACAATTTGACAGATGATCTTGTCAACTAATGAGATTATTTCTTTGAGCGGATATAGATCACCATGCATCTCGGCAATGTCAATCATCTTCCCTAATTTAACTACCTAAAAAATCACAAAAATTGAAATAAAATTTAGTTACACATTTTAAGTCACAAGCACATTTGTTGATTGAGTAGATTGCAGTCTAATTTTGGAAATAACAAACACAGTAAAGGTGTAAAGATTATTTTGTCAAATCAACTGATCATGTTCAGGCTACTGGTGAAAATGAACCATCGGTTGTTCAACTGCAGAGTGATTGGTGCATGGATAGCATTGATGTCTCTCATCATATGATATAAAGCTCCAGAGTAAACTAACCAAGAATTTAGTTTATTGCCTTGATTAATAAGAACATAGAGTGAAATACCTAGTTTGCTAGCAGACTGGTCGGTTTTTCAATAGAGGACTGTGATGTTTGTCTTAAACTGTAATCATGACCTGATGAAGTGTTTTAGTTAGCTCCATTATGAATGGACTAAATTCTACATTGTTTTTAGTTGTGACAGTAGTATTTGCACGATTCTCCCTATCAGGTCTTCCATTGAATGGCTTCCAATATGTAATTTTTTTTGTATAGTTTCCAACATGATTACTTCACATGTTTGTTTTATTACAATAATCGCACCATGGTTGTCCTTTCACGGGCTTATTATTTTGAAAGGAATTTTTGTGTACAATGATGAATTTTCAACGGATGGTGTGTGATTGTCTTTCATCCTATCCTACTTTCCTTCAAACTTCTACAAATGCCTCCTGAATGGTAGGAAGAGGTTTTAGTCTCGTGATTCTTCCCCTGACTTTATCTAGCCTTTACTAAAGCCAAGAAGAAATTTGATGGTCGCCTTTTGTTTATTACTATTTCTATACAAGGCAGGTCAGGACATTTCCAAGAGTAAACCCCATACATGCCCAGCTGCAGACAAGAATATGTGAAAGTGTTGAAATATTGAAAATTGTCAGGACATTTCCAAGAGTAAACCCCATACATGTCCAGTTGCAGACAAGAATATGTGAAAGTGTTGAAATATTGAGTAACATTCAATTCTCATTGTCGTAGATCATATAAGCTGGTTTCAATCTCAAATAACTTCAAGTTTTCAGTGCCAGAATAGGGTTCATGTGGAGCCTCGCAAATTCCCTTCATTGTCCTATAAAGCTAAAATTTTTCTCCAGTCTCCGTGGTCATGAAATGCATTAATCATAGCATAGCCAAGTGGTTGTCTGTTTTCCAAGCCTAGTATTTAGAATTTATCATTTCAGGAGTTGAAATCTTGTCGTGAGATGTTCATATTTTTCTCTGTCGCATATGTACATGAAGACAGACTGTGACTATTAACAAAATTTTGTTTGTGCAGTTTATGGTTAGTGACTAGGTGGGATGAGTTGTCAAGTACATTGGGTATTGAATATATAAGCTCAGATCTGGAGGTGACTTTCGAGGAAAAAGAATGCGAGGTCCCGTCATGTTTGACAATGAAAAAATTATGAAGTCTGAATCGAGAAGACATGTTGCACGAAAAAAATCAAGAGAAATTCCATTAATTTGATTGCTTGACTGGACGAGTACGTAGCAAATAGAGGGAGGAGGATCCTTAATTCAACTATTTGATTGGACAAGAGAATAGGACCTGGATGAGGTGCACAGTTCTCGATTTTTACAAGTTCAACACAAGGAGACTTATGAGAGGGCAGCTATGGCAAGTCGAATAGATCAAAATTGTTGAAGTCAAATGAATTGCGAAGACCAAATAGATTATAAAAATTGAACAAAATATTCGAACGATCGATAAAAATTAATATGAACCTAAATGACCTCAAAAAGTGTGCAGCTACTATGATATGGTTGTGGCTTGAGTATACAAGAGCAATGAAAGAGACGAGCAAGGAAGTTTTGTGATTCGTGCAAATGAGAGAGACGGGGATGGAGGTCTTTGTACGATGTGATCCCGTCTTTGTATGTTGAGATCCCATCAAAGCAAGGAGATACAATGGAAGTTATAGATGACTCTGTACACTGCAATCGAAGGTGGTGTTGGCGTCAAACATATCGCCAAAGAATCCTATTAAATCGTCATCATTGCCAATGAAGATTAAGATTGTAGTTGCAAACTCGAAAGAATTAGGTTTCGCTCTGCCACTATTAATAAATTTTGAGAAAGATTACTATTTCTTACCCAATAACAAATTACATCCTGCTATATGTAATAAAGTGGTCAGCATACCGGTCCACATATTAAGAAACTAAAATACAGGAAATATCTATTAGCGGAAATAAATAGATATTAAAAGATACTCAGAGTCAAAATATAAAATCCTTCCTATTAGAGTATATAGGTCAGTAACTTCCAACAGATAGCAATGCATCTAACCATCTCTAATTGGATTCATTTATCCAATAACAGAAATAAAAAGAATGCGTAAAAAAAATTCCTCCCTTTCTCTTTCCTCTAAAATGTGTATGTAACTACTTCATTCAAAATTAATTCTAAGCAATGTGCAAAATTTTATATTTCAAAATGCCTCCTCGTTTTCTATTCCCTATCTATCATATATCCAATAAAATAAAATCCTTCCTATTAGAGTATACAGGCGGTTACTTCCAACAGATAGAAATGGATCTAACCATCCCTAATGGGAGTCATCATCCAATAACAAAAATAAAAAATGATGCATAAGAAAACTCCTCCCTTTTCCTTTCCTATAGATTGTGTGCATGTCACTATTTCAATTCCAATTTAATTCTTAGCAATTAGCAGCATTTTATATGTTAAGATGCCTCCTCATTTGTCATTGACTATCTATCCTCAGACTTTCTCTTAATCAAAGAGACTCTTTCTTGAACGAGCACGACACTATCAAGACAAAATCCTATTAAAAGCTATAAAAGATAAAGAGAAAGAGGAGTGAACAGATAACACATCATTAGATGAGCTTCAATTGTGTCCCTTTGTGAAAGAGATGTTGAAAGGAACTCTGGCTCAGTTGAAAAACTTAAGAGACTTGGGACAAGCCACATGTAATCTTTCTAAAATCCTTCTCTGATACGCAAACAAAAGAAAGCAGGCCAACAGAAAGCTACTTCATCAAAATAAACTCTCCAATGAACATGACAATGCTACCATTCATTCCTACAAAAGGTTTGGAATGGTCAATAACTTCGCCCTTTTTTTAATTGAGGTTGACGCCCCTAAAAACATTGATCGAGTCTCATTCAAAACATCATATGTTTTATCCCTCTAATCACGACCATGTAATGATTTATAAGAGCAACCACTAGTGGAACTTTCTCAAGCATGGAGCTATTTACGATAAAATAAGATATTTTGAGTTTGATGAAACTTCATAAAGTACATGAAAAATTCTCCAGCAACTCTAAATTCATTATTCTCTTTTCCAATACCAATATACTTATTAAGTCTCTTTTCTCTCAATAGAAAAGTAGTAGTCACATCATTTCTTCTATGTTACTCCACGCATCATCATTCAATCAATGATCAAATGGCAACCTATCTTGAAGCAAGTGCAACATAAGGAATGTTTCCTTGTTTTCCTCACTTTGAACCTTATTTAAAGCATCAAGCAAAGAATAGTGCACAAGCTAAGGCTAAATGAATTCTCTTGATCTTCTGCCTTAATTGTATTTCACTTGTTGTCCAGGTTGATATTAGCTTTTCAACACTAGCTAGGTAGGTGGGTTCTTTCTAACGAAAGCATTCAACCAAGACCTCCAAGACAAATAGCTGGAGAAAGTTTTCAATTTCATTTTTCTCAATATAGAAGTACTAAGCCCATCCTCTTTTGGAAGAGGAGAGACTTTCATTGGCTTTCTAAAGATGCATGTTAACATCTCAGACAAAAAAAAAGGCTAGTTATATCGGGAAGCATCTCCGACAAAAAAAGGCTAGTTATTCTGAGCTTCCCTTTTTCTCTGACAAAATGTACTTAAGACTAACTTAGATATGATGTAAGTTCCACATGATGGATTTAGACTTCAACTAACATGGAAATAGAAATGATATACGCAGGCAATTGTTAAAATTTATAATAAAACTAACTTCGAAGAACTAAATGACTATAATTAAATAAAAATGATATATTGGGCATGAATAATTGATAAATTTTATTTGATCAATTTTTTTATAATTATTTTTCTTCTTTAGGCCCGGTGTGTTTGATTAAATGTTGATTCGTTCGAGCGTTGTGAATTACCAACTTTTGTGAGTAAGTGAACAAGACACTCTAAGCCGCCGAGGGTGCGAGGTGAAATTGGAGGCTGCGGGGCTGTTTGGCAGCCAGATTTACACAGGATTCAGCTTAGAACCTGCCAAACGACCGAAATGCATGTTTTAAATTCTATGGAATCTTAATCCCGCTTTACCTGCGTTTCGGCTCAATTCAGCGGACTGACGAGGTTTCGCAAAAAATAAATAAATAAATTAAATTAAAATAAACAAAAAAAAAAAAACTCACGAAGGTTAGATATAGACGAAGGAATACCCTTAGATGCCTTCGCTGCAAGCGGTCTTCGCGACTTCCCTAGGGCGTCTCGGATTGAAGATGAAGTGTGAGAGAGACGAGGAGTCCCGAGTCCGCACCTCGACGGTGTCGAGGGTTTCGAATTTGGGGACCGGATTTTGATCGGCTATATAATAAAAGAAAATTTTACATCCATGTCACGTAATTTCTCTCGCATTTATTTACCTAATATTTAAAACTTAGTATATTTATTTCTAATATTTTAATGTTATAAATTTAAGCATTAAAATAAATATTGCACTTTTAAAAGAATAAAAAAATATTATTTTTTTTATTTTAAAACTCTAAATGTTATGCATTTGAATTTGAAATTTTAATTATTAAATTTGCAAATTCAAAAGAATTATATGGTGTGCGTGTAAATGCGCCTAAATAAAATTAAGTAGAGCATAAAATAACTATATTAAGAAATTATTTTAATATATAATATTAATTAATGAAAATATAAGTGTATTTAATAATTATTATCAATTTAATAAATATATATTATTGAACTTAATAAAATAAATTTGATAAAAATATTATTAATTAAAAATACCGATATACAACAGATCAATACTATTTCACAAAATGATATATATATATATATATCAATTATAAGCATCAGCACATTAATATTGTCTTTCATCTAGTTTAATTAAATAAAATATATTTTTAAATGGCATATTAAATTACTAATCAATTATTTGTTATATGATTTTATGCAAATCAAATTTTAATTAATCCAGTTGTGTATTACATAGATTAAAAAGAAATAAGCTAATTAGATTTGTATTTTTATTTGAAAATGATATGATAATTACTAACTAATAATAAATGAGTCATCATCTTGTATCGATTGATGAATAATATATCACATTATTGATTAATTATCTTAATAATTTTTTTAATTACAAATTAATTTATTATGTGTAATGAATAAAACAGGTTATTCATTAAAAATTAAAATTTATTAAGTGTATTTAATTAATATTTAATAAATATTTTCTAATTTATTAGTTAACATTTTTCAAGCAATCGAGTAAATTAAAATAAATTAATTAACTAAATATAATTCTCCTTTATAACATACATTAATCAAATAAATAAATTAAAAATGATTTTATTTGTGATTCAAAGGATAATGAGATAGAGTTTATATGAATGATATTCAATAATTAATAATATCAGCATGGTTATGAATAATTGAAATTTAAATAATTTTAAATAAGTCTTGAATTATATATCATTAATAACTAATATAAATTTTCACTTTAATTAATCAATTTAACTTCTAAAAATATTTTGACATGGAGTTTATAAACCTTCCTTCTTCCTTTGTGAAGTTTTGTATAAATACACATGTTGTTGATTATAAATAGAGATTAAGTTGCATTTTAAAAAAGTCATGCTAGTTTGAAATATATGTAATAGAAGGTGGCTGTTGATGGGTTTTTTTCTATTAAACCACTTAGATGAGTATGTTTGGCATCTGAGGCATGTCAGGCTAAATAGTCCGAAGGGAGCTCTAATAAACAAGTTTTTATAATAACTTTTAGCACAAATTCTTAAATAATAATGTTATGATTATAGTCTGGTTGGAGCTTCAGTGCTCTTATAAATCCTTGATTGGTAGTAATGTAATTATAAAAGAATACTTATGGTAGGCTTACATGTATCTCATGTCGAGTTGAGAATATAATTGTAGCCTGTTGTGATTAATTTATTTTAATAAATAAATGTCATGTTTTGGTACACTCTACCTTTGTATCTTTGATCAAAAAATTGTGACGCATGACAATCTTATTTAGAGAGCACTCGAGTGACTTAAGTGTGAATTTTTGTTCTTTAGATCACACTAATAGTTTTTGTTTTTCACATATTTTTCACTTTTCTCTAACATATTCGGGAGTTGAGTCGAATAAGGGTATTTAAGTGAGTCAAGCCGATTAGCGAGCTGACTTGAGCTCAGCCCGATGAACTAACAAGCCAAGCTCAAACTAGCCCCGACTCGACTCGTTAGCTCATCAGCACGCTCATTTTTAAAAAATATTAATATTAAATATACTAAAAATATATTAAATTTGATGCTTTATCATTAAAGTATTAAAAATATTTTTAAAATGTTTTTTTTTTATTTTAGATTAATTGATTTCTTATTATTAATCTCATATTTGTGCATTTATCTCCTTAAACTAATATTATTTTTCTCTTTTATAATAAACAAGTCGGCTCGTAATTCGATTTAAACTCGCAGACAAGCTCGAGCTCGAGCTCAAACTCATAAACTTTAACTTGATAAAATTAATCAAGCTCAAGTTGAGGGTGACTTAAGCTTGACTTGAGCTTGAGCTTGAGGTCAAACTCAAAAAATTAATGAAGCTTGGTGGCGATAGGTTACTAGACGGTCCTATTCTCCAGAATTAGTGAGACATCATCATCTTTTTTTTTTTCTCGGAAGCAGAATCCGAGTTGAATTGTCAACCTATCAAAAAAGTTGTATGAAGCATTGATGAATGAGGCAAAATTAACATGTGAGAAGGTGTTTTATTTAAGGGAAAGCTGAGAGATGCAATTAATTTATCTCTTGTGTTTTCTAATGCACATTTTTGGGATAATAGAGGCTTTTTTATTTTCACGACAATTTCTAGTTGTTTGTGACAATTAAAAAGTGTGTCACCCACCTATAAAATTTTATACTTGAATTAAATTCTTAGTACGGTTCTCAAACCGTGAAGGAATTATAATGGATATCATCTGACAATGAGGGATAAAAAAAGAGATGAATGCAATGGATCATCCGACCATACTGTCTTGACATTCCTTTTCTTGGACTTTGAATCGTGGAATATAAAACTTCTTGATCATTAACTCCAAACGATCAGGAAGTTTCCCCGTAGCATGTTCAAAGGAAACTCTCTAAATGGTAAAAAAACTCTTTTAACATACTATAGGTCATTATCAGATTACATCGGTCATCTAGTTTTTTTTGTCAAGTACTTAACGTAGATCTAGTTCACTTGTCACCTTTTCTGAAGTAGATGAAACAAAGGCGATGAACTTTTGTTAGCATCTCCATGGAGTTGGTGGCTTCGCGAGAAGCTTTCAAGTTTGTCCCCCTTTATCAGCGTCAATGGAGGGTAGACTTAGATTTTTTTGTAATTTCAATTATGTTAGGGAAGCTTACCTTGCGTTCTCTTCTAACTTTGTCAAAGTTGTTATTGTACTCCGTTCAGAAATTTCAAATAAATTGAAATTGTTTTTAGATTATTATTGACTTCATTTTTATTTTCCTTTTGATAATCTCTTCAAGAGTTACTTAGTCATCCTTGGAACACGTGTATCTATTATTTTTCTTGTTCAATTTACCTTAAATGAGAAAAATGGTGTACATAAAGTCCTTATCGTAGGAACATAATACAATAGGTCAATTAGGGAGATAATAGATTTTTTTCTCTGGACTACTCAAGTATCTCCTTTTTAAAATGATGTTTTTAGAGAGATTGAATCGTCCTTTAACTCAAGAAATCTTTGACTCTCCTAAAGGTCTTACATCCTTATGAACTTTTGACTATTATTACAAAGCTCTCATGGGATCTCCTAACTTATTGGGGGACTATTCTCTCTCTTACTAGTATCAAATGATCTTAGTGAATTTGATGAACGATTAAAAACTTTGTCAATTATCTAGATTTAATTTTTTTTAGTTTGTATAAATTTTGCATAGTCATTAATGATCACAATACTTATCTTTTATGATAAATACCACCATCTTAGCCAACTTATTTTGAGAATAAAAGACCTTCAAATCATCCTCGCTCCACGTCCTAAAGACTTCATTGCCTAAATGGGTGATCAGCCTATAGACTCTCGACCTAGTTTGCTCATTTATTATGCAAGGGTCTGATCATGATGCCTTGAACTTCTTTTGAGTCTAATCACGGGCAGCGACGTCACTTTCCTGTTCAGAATTAATGTTTAGTATTTCAATGATCTTCTTATCATTGTTCATTCATAATGTAACAGACATATTAAATTAAATTTGAGGATATGAGCAGAACTACCTAAAAGGAGAAAAACTTTTTATTCCTCAACTGACCCTCGAGTTGGTTATTGGTCCCCTGACATTCGTTCTATACCTGCATAATAGATGACTCGAATCACACAAAATGATCTAGCCTTCTTAAATGCTGACATTATTTAGGTTACTGGTCAATTACGATTTATGTCAGGCAACTCAAGCTTAAATAGCCACTTGACTAAACTATGAGTGCTTCACTCGGTGAAACCACAGTTAAATCTTGGTTGGTTTCTTACAAGGGAACATAATGGATGACTTGGATTACATGAGATAATCCAACCCTCCTCTATCTAATTATCTTGTTTACCGCTTAGAATTGGATATAAGATCCCTTTAAATAGAGTAAGGCATTCCTCCCTAATGTAACAACCAAATTAGATAAAAATTAGAGGTTTGGTGTAAACCCCCTTAACTAGAGTTAGACATCCTTCTCTTGACTAGTCCCTAGAATTGGAGACAAGCCTCCTAAAAGGATCAAGACCTTCTTTCTTAAACTAGTTAAAAAAGTTTTAGGTTGAATATGAGTCATGGTGTTTTCCTTCCTAATACAATCATTATGGTCTACCCTCATGTTAAATGTGAGTCCACGTGCTTTCTTTTCTGATCTGATCACCTCAACTTGTACTTGAGCTGGATATGAGTTCTCTAGCATTCCTCCTTGACCTGCATAATAGATGACTCGATTCACACGAGATGATCAAGCATTCTCAATTGACCGCACTGCTTAATTCACTGGTTAATTACGATTTAAGTTGGCCAACTCGGGCTTAAATAGCCACTTGACTAAACTATGGATACTTCACTCGACAGGAACCGTAGTTAAATCTTGGTTGTTTTCTTGCAAGGGAGCATAAATAACTTGGATTACATGAGATAATCTAGCCTTCCTTGATCTAATTTCCTCCTTCACCTTTTAGATTGGTTGTGAAACTTCCTTTAATGGAGTAAAACATACCTCCCTAACGTAACAGACATGTTATATAAAAATTTGAGGATTAGTGTGATAACCTATAAATGGATAAAGACATTCTTTCCTCGGAAA